TTTTTTTAAAGGAATAAATATTAATATAATCACCTTACAACGAAACCACATAAATGTGAAATTATTATTGATAACATGCATCTCCTCGTAAATTAAGTATTATTTTATTTTGCGATTTACACCAATGGATAGGCAATTTATTAATGAACCTTTCTATAGTAAATTTTTTTTCAAAAGACCAAAATTTGATTTTATTAAGAAATTATTTTAAAATCTGGGCATATTTACTGCTCACGGGCTTGCTGAAGTCATTGAGCGCTGAGCTCTTCGACGCGAAGCCCGTGTCGTTAGAGCGTCGACCAGCGCATACGCCACGTCATATGAGTCGATAATATTATTACTTATTAGGTTATTAATAGGTAGTATTATCTGTTTGTTTTGGGTATAATTTTTCGTATTAGTTATACATATATATGTTGTGTTTTTTACTGCGCGATGAAGCTTTTTGCGTGTATTTTCTTTGAAGTAAATGCAAATAAAAAAATGAAGCACCATTAGCATGTAAGGTTCGAATCCATAATTAAAATTTCGACAAATATTATAATTTACACTATAAAAGGCTAATTCAATATTATCACCCAACCACAATATCTTATCAGGTATAGTACTGCATCGTTGGTCTAGTGGTTGTAGTAGTGCGACTGCTGATCATGAGGTCCCGGGTTCGAATCCTTTGTCGGGCCAAAAAGTCAGTTATGAGTTTTTCATTTATGTTCTAAGTTATAATTAGTATTACTAAGTTATAGTTTTTTGCTAAAACATAGTATATTATTTATTGCTTGTTTTTTCTTCTTTTTCAAAAAATAATTGAGTACATAAGGTGTTCTATACTTATAATTCGGTAAAAAGTACTAATATACCTACTTTTTACTATAAACTAAAAAAATTTAACACTAAATTTAACTAAAAAAACTAAACTGACCATTTATTTTTTAACTCATAACAGGACATGGGTTTATTTATACTCTAAAAACTATAACTTTATACAATTAGTGTTCACTATAAAATTATATTCGGTATAGACGGTAATTATTAAATGCAACATATTTTTTTTAATTATTAATTACATTTGTCAGTGGATTAAATTTGCTTTAATAAAGTTGGTGATGATTTTAAATAAGAATAAAATTCTGCTCAAGTTTTTTATTGTTATCTTTGTTAACAACATCGCCTTTAGAACTCTGGAAGCGTAAGTGTTTCTTTCAGACGTCCACAATTTATGCAAAATAAAAAAATACTCTTTCTACCGGAGCATTCGTACCAGGTAGACATAAAATATATTCGATTAAAAAAAATTATGTTGAAGATTGTTGACTTTGAATACTTCCATCAACCGAGTTACGGGACAATTTTGTGTCCCGGAGCTTTGTTGGGGACAATGGGACAGGAGACCGAGAAAAGAGACAGTCCCGTTCAAAACGGGACGTATGGTCACTTTAGCTATAACCCGGCGACCATGAAGCAAATACAAAGTTAGTCTTTGTATTAGCTTCATGGTGGCGCAGTGGCTTAGCAATCAGTTGTTGCGCTGGGGGCCGCGGGTTCGAATCCCGCATGGAACAAGTATTTGTATGGCCTACAAATAATTGTTCCGGGTCTGGATGTTTGTCTTTGTGCAATTTATGTTTGTAAACTGCCTCCACGACACAGGAGAAAATCCTAGTGTGGGGGTAACGTTTTTTTACAACTGAAATTGAAAGATTGAACCCTTATACTTCTTGTTGATTTTTGTATTACCTTTATTAAAGTTACCCTTATGTATAAATAAATATAATTACGTATGTAGAAATAAAATTGATTTTCATCCTCATCAATCATTGGGGTGAGGATAATGTCTGCCAGCATAAGTATAAGCAGGCTAAGTTACAAGGTGCTCAGTTCAAAAATTAGTAGGTAACTTTTCAATACGTGACACGTAAAAATTAACAATAATCAAAAACACATATGCGAAACATCCTATTTATTTATTTATTTTTTATTGCACCAAATATTTGTACAAAAGCCGAGCTATCTATTTATTTACCTATAGTGAATAGGTATCTTTTAAACTCACAATTTTCAATGCTTCAGTTTTAATATATAATTAATTATAAAATTTTATAATTAGATAATATATGATAATACATAATTCTAATATAATGCAACTAATATATACAGAATAAAAAAATTAAAATACATTTATCTTTGTACGCTATGTGTATTTCCATAAAATAGTTTATTGATGTTGAAAAAATAATACTACTTTCGTACAATAGGTGGCGTCTTACATATTTCTTCCAGCGCGCCGTATTGTAGCGAGCGGCGCGCCGGTCAAATGCTCAAGGTCGTTCGCATGGAGTAGCCCCTTAATGTTGAGTTGTTGAATTTTTACTTTAAAATAAATAAATAATAGATCTGGGAAAAAGTTTTTTTCTGCCAAAATTAGTGAATCTAACAAAGAAATTCGTTTCATTCTGAAGTTTTATTACAAAAAAGGGAAAAATGCGACTTAAGCCGCGGAAAAATTGTGACGTTTATGGGTCTAATGCAGTGACAATAAGTAGTAGTAGAGTAGCACAAAGTAGGTTCAGGCATTTTCAGTCTGGGAATTTTGAAGTCAAAGATGCAGTTCGCTCTGGTTGCTCTCATACGGATAACGTCGATGCCATTTTAGAAAAATTGGAGCATGATCGGCATATTAGTAGTTGCGACATAGCCACAGAATTGAGGATTGACTACAAAACAGTTTTGACCCATTTGAGAAAGTCTGGCTACACAACAAAGCTCGATATTTGGGTACCACACGAGTTCACTGAAAGAAACCTAATGAATCGTATAGCCATTTGCAAGTCTCTATTGAAACATAATCAAACCGAACCATTTTTGAAAATGGATAACTTACGATAAGAACGTGCGAAAAAACGTTCGATAATAAAACGTCGAACAAAATGGCACTTATATTATAATTAAATGTAATTAAACTTTGAAACAAAATGCTTTGAATTTGTATATAAAATACGAAGAAACTTTTTCCCCGACCTTATATATTGCTATATGACTACTACAATGACTGTTTTTCATTAACATGAATTACCTATATGTGTAAAAAATATACCAGATTTCAATATATAATAAAAAAATAACATGTCTAAATAAGTTTCGGTTTCGGCCGAAACTGACACCCAGACCGCAGGTTCGTTTTCAGTTTCGGTTTCGGATGAAAATCCCGCTTCGGTCGGTCACTAGTTTCTTCAAGACAAAAGTGAATAAGCTTTGTTTTTAAATATGGCTTAGACCTTAGAACAACTCACTTTCTTGATTGTCTGTTTGTTTGTCGGTTCACTATAAATTTCGCAATATTTTACACTAATTTCTCAATGAACAAGAAACTTGAAACTTTAAACAAAATTCAGAACTGGAAACATGGTAAAAATTGTCGCCAATTTGAATTATATTTTTATGGTATTGTAAATGCTCACGGACATTGAATACCAGCATTAAAGAGCAGCACAATGCTGCTGTCTCTTCTGTAAAATAACTAGTTCTGTCGTCGTAAAATCGGCAGATACGTTTATTCCTCCAGTAGTACTTATTTGCCAAATGAAGGCTATCGGACGATTGAAAAATTCAATTGTTTGCTATCTATCGCATAAACGCTATCACTCCTATTACAAAACGTGGTTTATTAATGATCTCTGGTCTCTAAATTTATTATAGTATGTCACAAAAGATGTAACTTAGCATCGGCGCCATAATCTTTGCGAAATTTGACATTTGCTGTCAAATCCAATTTTCGTTCTCATGTTTCGCAGGACTATTATTAACTACTTTTTGTAATAAGACGGTATGTCTTGATTGATTCCCCCCCCCCCCCCCCGCCTTAAACGTTACGTAACACCAAAGTTTGATTATTTTTACCTAAAAGCACTAAAAGTCACAATTATTTGTCACAATTATTACATGGGTATATTGTTTATTTAATTTATTCATATTGTTATTTAATAAACAATCACACATAATGTAATGAACAGTTGCTAAAGTTTGAAATATGTTAAAATGGGCTCAAATTTGTACTACTAATCTTACATTTAATTACGTCATTTTCCTGACTTGGCCTTGTCCTTACATACATTTTTGGGTTCATCCACCATTGTTCTTCTCTATCTTTTCATCGTTCTTTTTTTTGGCACAGTTGCACTGGCAAGTCAGCATGGGAAGTCAGCATGAGAACCTTTATAGGCCAAAAACAGCTAATGGTGCCAAATCTCCGTCTTTTGAGGGCATTACAGTATGGAGTCACTTTAACAACACTGACTTCAACAATGTGCTTCTGCGTAAACACTAACGAATACTGACAACGAAAACAAAATAAAAATGACGTACAATACAGTCGAGGGATTCCCCGTAAAACATACATGAAAAGGGTTGCCAACGTGGGAGAGTTTGACTTCCTAGTTTATTATATTACATAAAAATTATGTTACGTAATTCGTTCTACGAACCCCCCACCCGCCCCTGTAACGCAGTGTAACGTTTTACAAGAACCCAAATTACGTTACGTAATACTTGAACGCACCCTGATAGAAAAATCGCACCTTAATTGTATGAAGTTATTTTTTATATAGAAAAAGGGTGACAATCGAATACACAGTCCACCTGTTAGTGCGTGGATACCGTGAAACATAACCACTTACATCTATCCTCGGTTAAGAATCAAGATGCAAATGTGTCTTCACCCCTGAAGACAAAGATGGAATTCCTTGTTTCCAGTAAAAAGGGTCTCCGATACTCTAAATTCACCATACGAAACACACCAGCATTAAGCTGCTATTTTAAGCTGCTATTTTGTGAGAGCGTGCGCCTTCCCCAGTCGAGTCTATCCATTCGTGCTACAACCACAATATAGTTGTTTTTACTTTTTGTTGAAAGTAATTTTTTTGTCGTATATATTGAGCATTTAACTTTCTTACACTGGATATTGACCTACTAAATAGTGTTATAGATGTTCTACTTGGCTACAGGCTAATAGCCCTTGGAATGGACGAGTTCTGGGAGTACGTAGAGATGAACCCGGAGTTGTACCGCACCCGCAGCCACGCGTCCGCGCGTTGTGGTCTGAAGTCGACCATTAAGTTGCTGTGCCGCTACCTGATGCCGTGGTACAAGCCGCACTCGCTGCTCGGACACGTGCACTATGTGCGTCGTACCGACAAGGACAACCCCATATACGTGAGTAGCTCCTTCTCTTTCCAGCAGCTAGACACTGGTGCATTTGTGCCGATGCCTGTTCCGCTGAACTATAAGCACTGAGAACAGTCCCAAATACGTTGGTTGCTCTCTATCTGGCCAATGGCTATCTTAAGAAGTGTCTATGGAAAATGTCAGAAAAATTTCAAAACTTCCACTAGATATCGTATTTACTGTTTGGTGACAATGTAAGAATATCCACCACCCTATATCTTCCCGTGGGTATAGACGACCGAGGAAACAAGCCAGGTAAATGGGCAGCAGCGACTTCTTAATAACAACTAGTACTATAAAAACTGCCAAGCGAAGCCACTATGGCAAGTATCCTTATGAGGTAGTCTTGGGGGAGTTCTATGTTCAGCAGTGGAATTTGAAAGGTTGTAATGATGATGCTTAGATATCGGCATAACCATCTCGTTTATGCCAGATGTAAATGATATATTATATTATCATTTACCGGCGACGAGGAGCAGTGTCAAAAGTGCAAGACATCAGTACTGCGATTGCCTATCCGCCTGTTAAGAGCGACGATTATAAAAAATCCACCCTACAACGGGATCGATATTCCGTCCCGGTGTTCCCGAAGAAAGCTTCCAGACGCAAAATTGTCCAGTTACATAGCAACTGCGAGATTCGAATCACGAAAAATGAGGTTTCCTAGGTAATCGGTGGCAGCACGAGCCGGAACCGTGTGAGTTCGATCATTTTTTATTATTTAGGTTGTGTTGCCAAAAAAATTTTTTTGGGGATAATACCGAGGTCGACTTTGGTGATACAGTTAAGTGGAGAGCGACTTATATGGTTTGTTATGTGAAATTAAAGTCATTCTTTAAAAAAATAAACTGCAATGGGTATGTCAAATTGATCTGTTAAAATATCCAAACACTTTATTACGTGATAAATTGCTTTATTTCCAGTCAATAAAAAAGCGGCCAAGTGCTAGTCGGACTCGCCTATGAAGGGTTTCGTAGCACCAAGTAACATAATATAAAGGATTTGTAATTTGTTGTAACTTTGATCGATGTTTTAATAATAGTGTATTTTTTTTTATTTTTATATTTGAGTTGATTGAATTAAAGGTAAATTGCGATTTACGATTTATGACGTATTAAAAAAAAACTACTTACTAGATCTCGTTGAAACCAATCGGTGGAAGTTTACATGGTAATGTACATCATATATTTTTTTTTAGTTTTATCATTCCCTTATTTTAGAAGTTACGGGGGGGAGGGGGCACACATTTTACCATTTTGGAAGTGTCTCTCGCGTAAACTAATCAGTTTAGAAAAAAATGATAATAGAAACCTCAATATAATTTCTGAAGAGCCATCCATAGATACCCCACACGTATGGTTTTGATGAAAAAAAAGTTTTTGAGTTTGAGTTCTAAGTATGGGGAACCCCCAACATTTTTTTTTCTATTTTTTTGTGTAAATCTTAATGCGGTTCACAGAATACATCTACATACCAAGTTTCAACAGCATAGTTCTTATAGTTTCGGAAAAAAGTCGTTGTGACATAGGGACAGACAGACAGACATGACGAATCCATAAGGCTTCTGTTTTTTGCCACTTGGCTACGGAACCCTAAAAATGGCCATGTTATTCATGCAGTACATGCCACGAGTAAAACATATATTTCCAGACATTTTAGGTGTGTGTTTTTATTTGTTTTTATTTTGCAGAAATTCTTTGCTGAGCGCAAAGTAGAACCAGTTGTACACAAACTGTTACCATTTAATCCAAAGATCACACTGTACGAACAACCAGAGTACGAAATGCCTCGGATTTGGATTAGGCATCTTGCTAAAACCAGTAAACGTTTTAAGGTAAGTCTATAAAATGTGTGTAATAGTACTAAATAAATGCTAATGTTTGATAACATTTCAATACAGTTTTTTCTTGTGACTGATATTTTAAGTAATGTTATTACTGCACTCATTCTACCTCTATTTCTATTAGTAATATTTAAAAAAAATTGCTAATGAGTTTTGTACAACATTTTTTTGTACATACGACAAATCAAAGTTTATAATTTTATATCAATAATTCACTTAAAGTTCTTGATAAGTAAATACAAAATTAATAAATTTAAAAATGAAAGCATGTAAAGCGACACACATCACGTGTACTCAAAGCGTAGAGGTTATTCGTAAATTAACTAGTACAGTACCCGGAAGTAAATATTATTTTCTGTCTCTCTCTAGATTATCTCTTTCTAACCTCAGTGTGTAATATTTATTGCCGCATACTGTAATATTTTGAATGTAATATAAGATGAAGTCAAAGTAATGTATTGAATGAATTGTTAATTTTTAGTCTTATCTGCATCGTCGTACCAATGTGACCGGAATGACGCCAAACGGCATTACCGTCAATTTAGGGACAAAGATTCAATATGCGGCGAAGAAACCGTTACCTATACATTTTACACAACAAATCTCAAAAGAATATCCGACGCTGTTGCCTAAAATTGCACCAAAGCCACCTGTGCCTGATAAAATCGATGTTCATATCGACAAAAGCTCTGTGAATACAACTACACAGTCGGCAGTTGTGAATGCGAATGTCGTGACAATAATTGTTGCAAATGACAAGGCATATTTGATTCCCGTTGATCAACAAACAACAACTGTTAACTCGGTTTCTCAGCCAATTTGTAGTGCTGTGGAAAATAATTCTCTGACTAATTCTATAACAAATGTAGACAGCCAAAACGCTATAGATAACTCTGCTGATTCAAATAACGTTAATACCGTTCCCGAAACCGCAAATGTTGATATAACTAATAAGAGGCCAAACAAAAGTATTACAGAAAAAGAAACGCCTTATTCACGTGCACAATATGTGGTCGCTGGCAATGCGTCTAATTCTAAAAATGTCGTAAATGATCCAAATCACTGTATGTGTTGTATTATTTTGAAGAAAATTTGTAGACAACGTCAGACCACGATCACAGAGTTTTTTAAACCGAAGTCCAACAAAGAAAATGTCGCGTGTGCGTGTAGAAGTCTCAGACGTCCCAGAATAACAAATAAATTGAGGCTACTTCTGAAATATTATAAAAGTCGTTCAATGTACGTGCATAACGATACGAATTATAAATTAGCTCAATGTGGCGAAAATAGCACAGAATATGCGAATGTACCTAATGTCGAAGTCACAGAGTTAGAAGATTTAAGTGACCCTAATGATATTGGTAACGTGTTTTTAATTATTTTTTTTTTCAAATATATGTTTACTTATGGTATATATTGCCGTTTAATGGCGGCAAATAAAATCTTTTACCCTGGTGTAAAAGTCGACAGTGGGAAGCTGAAATAGGAGATGGGCAGCATCATATTTGGCATATTGCGGGTTGGTCTTACTTATAGTGTAATTTACGTGCACATTGTTTTAGTGTGCGTAAGTTTGGGGTTTTGTTTAGTATGTTTATAGTGCCGGAAACCAAATAGAAAAAGAATATTCGCAGTCATTTAAGAAAATAATTAATGTGTCCTCAGCAACAGAGCCCTCGCCCGCATTCGTGAGGCAAAACATCTATAACAGCTTAAAACAGTAAAATACTGCGATTGGCAATCCGCCTGCATACCGTGGCATCTATAGTAAATATCCTCCCCTCCTCTATGAGGCAATCTGTGGAGGAAGCCTATGTTTAGAGTGAACTTGTTGTGATAGGTTGTAATGAACTTTACATTATGGTTTATTTTGCAGGTAGTTTTAATTTATTTTAAAATTTTGTGTTTGTGTGTAACCTGATAAGACATGCAGGTAGTAGATGGATGCAAATGGCTCAGGACCGTGCTTTGTGGCAAGCCTATGTTCAGCGGTGGACTTGTGAAGGGCTGTAATGATGTTGATTATAATATGTGTGTGTGTGTGTGCGTGTGTGTTTTACACCCTGGTTGTCAAATCACCTGCCAAGCGTGACGTGTACGTTCCATATAGGTAAGGCCAATGTCCATCATTTTGGTCAACTATAGCACAGCCTAAGAAGAACATACAGTCGGTCATCGCGTTTTAATGTTGTTGGAAAAGCCGACATAAACAATAAATTCTTAAGCTTGTCAGAGCGGGAAGTAATAAAAATATAAAAAACATATTTTATTTTATTTCTCGTATAAACAAATTAAACAACTTGTTTAGGCCAAATATAGGCATTTGAAGTTGTATCCAATAGCGTGACTCGGTGCATCGCCCGATGGTGTGAGGTGAGTAAGCGCCGCCGCCGGTGGGGGAGGCGGTGTGCCGCTTCTCGGCGTTCGGTCGGGTGAGCCGAGATCAGTAGCTTGACCGCAGCGGCTCTGTCGACTAGTTGAATTGTTTTGCGACCGCTGGATCGGTGACGCGCGGCCAGTTTTGGTTTTGATGGTCTAGAGTTTGAGTAATTTTGGCGTGTCGGAAGTCGAGACAATGCAGTGCAGTTACTAGAATAGCGTGGTCGCGTACCGTATAACCTCTAAATAGTGTCGGTTTTTGTTAGCAAATTTATGCAACGACGAGGAGTTTTGTTGAGTCTAGAAAAATAGATTGTTTGCGCGGACGCCGGTTCTTCGTTAGACTCGTGAGGTCGCTTTAAGATCGCTTCTATTTTGAGTTATCATTTTAGTGCGTATACGCGATAACGAGTTCTGTTTAAGTGTTGAGTGATTAAATTAACTTACCTTTGTTTGCAAGTAATCTACGTTAATTTGTATAGTGATTCCATTTTGAAGCGCATTTGCAATATTTACGCATTTTTTGCTTGGGTGGACTGTTAATATCGCACTAAAGAATCTTAGTTTGTTGAGGGAACGCGGAACCTTGTGACCCGAGAGAAGGTCGCGTTCGGTTTCTAGAAATAATTTGTGGCTAAGTGAAAACGGAAGTTGAACTTTGATCAACCGTTCATTAGTTGTGCCGTGTGTCACGTGTTTGATTACGATTAACGGGGATTTAGTTGAGTTTGAAGTGAATTAAATGTACAATAAAGTTGATATATTGAAATAGTGTACAATAAAGTTGATAAACTGAAATGGTGAAATGAAGTCAGCAGTTTTCCATTGGTGACGTCCGCTGGAGTGATACCACATCGTGGGGCAGCATTGGACCAGGCTGCTGCCCGATCACCTCGGTTAAGTTAGGTCACACATGTACACACTACTACACACAAACTTACATGCACCTACCTACCGCCTGACCGAGCCTTGTGTTCAGTCTTAGCTTCGGAACCAGGTACGTCCTATTTATCTACCTAGCTTTAGATACTACATATCCATTGGGCATTTGGGCTCCGTCCTCTGTTGCTCGTCGAGGGGCTACTATGGTCACTATCCCAATCGACCTTTGTAGGGGCAACTAAGGGCGTGAACACAACTTAATCAGAAAATTTGTGTTCAGAAATAGTTAATATAATAAGTTATACTAAGCAAGTTTACAAAAAAAATTATAAAAAATTGTCACCTATCGAATACAATATAAGTAGTTTATAACGTATTTTTTGAATAATAACAATTTAATTAACGCTATATTTTTTTTATTTGAATACAACATGTTGAAATGTAAGTTTCAAGTTGCATACACACAAAATTACGTCATTAAGATTGTTGTCGAAGTAAATAAAATATTGCCGATTTCTCCATTTTCAACCGACTTGAAAAGGGAAGTTCTCAATTCGTCGGAATCTTTTTTTATGTATGTTCATCGAATACTCAGATCAGATCCGATTTGTACGATTCTTTTTTCGTTTGATAGCTGGTGTTTTTCACCTGATTCCATATAAATTTCATCAATGTGTGACCAGTAGTTTTTGAGTTATCCTTAATAATTTATATTGAAATCGGTTGTACAAAATTTTTAATTTTACCACTTGTGCAGGAAGGTAGCATACATTTGTACCTCAAAATGTAAACTACACACATAGGTATTCTTAAGCTTACTATACTTTTTCCAACCAAATCAGAACTTCCACATTTGTCTATCCAAATGCAGCACCTGCAACAAAAAGTATGTCTTCATAATTTTACAGAAGGACGGAGCGGTCATCTTTTTCAAGAAAAGTAACACAAAATTATAACACAGCCCCCTTAAAACCCTGTAATCGATTAAAAAATTAGTAGATTTACACAAATTCCCTTAATCGACAGCCACATTTTTAAAAATACCGGCCAAGTGCGAGTCGGACTCGCGCACCAAGGGTTCCGAACAAATCCGTAGGTTAAAATTATTAAAAATATTTTTATTATATGATGTAACTAAAAATTTATGCGTTTCGAAATTTTTCCTTTATCTGTGCTATAATACGTTGCTTCGTACCAAATTTTAAGATTCTGAGTTCACGGGAAGTAACCTGTAGGTTTTGATTCCCTTGCGGCTTAATATTTGAGGCATAAACGGCTGTATCTTTTTTCCGTTGGCGTAGACGTTTGATTTTTTCACAGCTCTAAGGGACAGTAGACTTGAGTATTTGATATGAATTTCAGCTTGATGCCTCCACGCGTTCCTGAGAAGAAGGGTCTTGACAGACAGACAGACAGACGGACAACAAAGTGATCCTATAAGGGTTCCGTTTTTTACTCTAAAAATATACAAACTACGTTGGCCACCATTAGAAACACCTCATTCCACACACATTTTGAAAAATTAAAATTGATAAAATAACATAATCTTCGAATGTAGCAGCCTTAACCCTTTCGCTGTCCTGTGTAGTATGTACTACATATAGGTCATTGCTATTGTCTTACTATTGCGTCTGAAAATCGGATAGTGAGTGTTAAAACCCCATAATCGACACCCATATTGAAAAGTTACATATAATACGCGGTGGTCATCTTGAAACTCTTAAAACATAACAAAAATTTTAAACTTAGCGCCCCTATTAACCCTGTAAAATCCATATTGAAAATTACACAAAATACGTCATCTCGGCTTTGAAAATAACAAAATTCCGACGTAGTTACCTAGCATCCTTAAAAAGCCTGTAATGACAGCTGTATGAAAAAAATACACAAGATACTCGGCGGCCATTTTGCATTTTTAAAAGTCTATAATTGAAAGTTCCCAACACTGAAGCATCCCGGCCATCATTGTCATTGATGTCATATAAAACAAAAGATAGGTAGTTTCCCAGATCCCAAAACGACAACATTGTCACGTATTTACCATATAATTTATTTTCATAAAAATAAAAACATTATCCACTTTGTTTACTATGCGATAACGACTTTAGACAATTTACATATAACGTTCAAATACAATTAAATATTAGAAATATAATACACAATAAAAATATATCTTACCTTTCCTTTGTATGTGGGGAAACTGATGAAACTTTAATTCATTATTTTTAATGAGGAGGACCCATAGTTTTATACCGAACATCAAGTGTGAACCACAACCATTTTAATTTATTTGCGTGACAGGACAAGCCTAGCGGACAGTTCCCGAGCTACTAACAGCCGCTGGGGACGGGAACTTTCCGCCCGCGTCTCGGCCCGCACCGCACTGCACTATTGCCCCGTCAAGACGATTTCGATGACCGACTGTTAGTAATAGTTAGACTGTGACTATAGGTCATTTTACATATATCTTGTCCGTAATCGGTGTGTAAAAGATCACAGTCGGACATTGACCCCTTCCTTTCTGGCTTTTCTGCCTGCCAGGGCCGTATCAACGCGTATCAAGGTTAAGACAAAGAAGGCAACTGCCAGTGGACTACACGTCGCTTAAAAGCCTCGCTGTCTAGAAAAAAAAACATTTTTACGCGGGGATGTTGCAAAATGAATGTGAAAAATGGTGTTGGCATTGCTTAACCCGAATGCCATCCGATGAAAAAGAAAAGTGTAAACTAATTTTTTTTACAGTTTATCGCTTAAACATTAACAAACTAAAATATTTTTATATAATATGCTAATACTTGTGAATTTTTAGAATTTGTTACGCTATTCGAACTGAAGCTGATACTACGATTGGGACTAGCCAGGAATCGGTATCTTAAGCAAAAAATGTACGTACTTCTGTCCAATTTTGACCATGAATCTGGTGACCCTGTGGCTCTAGCAAGGTCTTTGGAGACATTATTTGACGTTGAACTAGTCGATATATTCAAGGAGTTTCTCAGATTCCTGACACCTGAACAGGCGGACAAAATAGACAAATTTAAGGATTACTTCACTCAGGAGTGTGCTCCAAATTTGTTGAAGAGGATAAAGGTATTAATTTATTTAAATATTTTTAATGACATGAAATCAAATAGTACACCTGATGGTACTACTGCAGCCCATGAACACTTTGAAACAATAAAGAAAGCCTCAGATGCATCATCACCCCTCAGATCTAAGATCGAAATTCCTCACATCCTGTGATGGTATTTTATATTTTTTAATATATTTGTCAGAGGTATTTTATTTGAAGCAGACAACGAAAAAAAGTGAGATTCTGAATAAATATAAATTTATAATTTTATATCTTTTTTTAAGGATGTGGTGACGGACAAAAGTAAAAGGCACGCATTACTATCTCGTCTTATTACAGCATTTACCGACAACTTATCAACAGCGTGCAAGACTTGCAGCGATCTACTCAGGCTCATGGATGGGTATCCTGAACTAGCCAAGTATACCTTCACTTTGTTCCCGCACAAAAGACTAAGGTATAACAAAAATCTTATATCATTTTACAAAAGTCTATTGTAACTTTATCATCGTAATATTTAATACTATACGGAGCGCTGCGTACATTTCAAGTAATGCCGAAATTCTGATAATAATAATCAATTTATTGTAAAAACGTTCGTTCATATATGCATCCAAAATAATTTGCAAAAATTTTAAAGAAAGAAAGAAGAAAGATGTGAGTAAGTGCGCGTCAAGAAGTTGAGCGTGGTCACTTGAACCAAACGCAGTACAATACCAACTATTGTAAAAAAGAACGAAGAGATTTTTGTACAAAGGTAGGTCTTTCTTTGTGGTCTAAATATTTATATCACTGACCTCTATTATACAAGTACGCTGGGCTCGCTATACAACGTGACATAATGAGGCGATTTGATTTTCGCTCTTTTGGCGCTGATAGCAGAAGTGAGCGTCCATGGAACTAATAGTAGAAATAGGACAGTGTGACAAAATATATCGATAAAAATTCGACACAGTTAGACAAGCTTTATACCTCATATAAAACAAAAATCGACGCTGCGTAAGTCTATCTATGTTTTTCTTCGTAACTATAGAACGTGATTTGTTCCGGGTTTCACCATTGTGTATGTATGGTTCATTCGAGAGGTTTAAAAAGGTCCAATGAGTAGGAAAAACTGGAGTAGGTACCTACAAAATAATAATAATATTTTTGTAAAGAATTTATTGTTAACCATTCGTTTAGTACTCGTAATAGATAAAACCAATAAGCTGCCAAAATATTATACCTATTTCAACAATATCTATAGGTACAATTAGAGTTTTACAAACTTTAAATTAACATTTAAGAATACCATACCATAAATCATTGACGTCAATTTGCTTCGAACGCCAATTCACAAGTTTAAGCTCTTTAGTCGCAGTTTTAGTATTTTCAGTTAAAAACCAGTAAATTAATAAATATTTGATAATCGTCTGTTGTCAGTGAATTTCGTTATAAACAGTAGAAAAGACATCGATTATAGACAAGGAACTTGTTAACCCTATTGAATTTTATTGTTTATCAAATATATATCAAAAATAGGTAATTTAAAGCCAAAGATGTTAGTAATTACATTTAATAAGATAAGTGTCAGATTTTGAAGAGCCTATATTATCAAATAGTTTTTTTTTAAATATAAACTGTTAATCCCCTTACTTGTGAAATGTTACCACACTTCCATTCTGATGTCAAATTTTATATTATCATTGTTACTAAAAATAGTTTATATTATATTACTAACATGAAACATAATCGAACTACACAATACACACTTTTTCTCGTATAAACTTTAAAAAACTCTTATGCCGGGTTTCCACGCTTGCCAAGTCTCGGCAAGCATCCACAAGCACAAGTGTGTAAAGAGGGCGTTTGGCTTGGCTTGCGTGAGCTTGTGGACGATTGTCCCCGATCCGGTCTAGTGTCGGTTTTTGTGTCCAAAAACCGATATATATATATATATATATATATATATATATAATTGAATGTGATTTATGGGCAACAAAGACGCTCGCTCGTGTGTGTACGAGTCAATGCTTTTGCCTACTATTTACTTCCTTAATGACACGCTAGCTACTAAGTTCATAACTACGACGCGAATTATGATTCCAATTTTCCCTTCATACTTTAAACGAGCTTAGGACCCTTATTAAAAATTAAAATTTAAAAAAAATACATTTTATCGACGACTGAGACAGATGCTATGCAAATAAAAAGTTCTTCACACCTCGAAATAAATAATATTTAATAAAATTGGAATTAAATATTTACAACTATTAACAATTTAAAACGATTAACTCTTAAATATGCAATCACTTAAAATAAAATTAACTTACTGGTATTTTAATAAGTGTTCAAAATGAAGTCCGTTTCCCACAATGCACAGTTGAGCACGTTTCCTTAAATTATTTTTCTAATTACATGTGTCTGAGCACTTTTCACTTCCGTGAATGCAGCAATTATTTTGCTGCGGAGGTCGTCATAGCTTTGGGTCTCTTCGACGTAAACTTGTCTCTTTATTTCACCCCTGTTCACCCCATAAATAAAACTAATGATATAGTGCCGCCACGCCCAATCAACCTACCTTCGTATTCGCTATTTAAATAATCACGCACTGCACTTGAATAGTGAGGCGGAGCACCGTCGTGTTGGAAATAAAAATTATTCGGTAACACTAGGTGTATATAGTATTATCAATGTTTGGCAACAACTACTCGAGAGGGACTCCTTTCGAGGTGGACCATGTTATTATTTAGTGCTTGCACACGTTGGTAATGAAATAGTATTCACACGTAGTACTAGCTGTGACAAGTAATACTACCTACGAAATTTTAAAAAAAGGACACTCGGTACGTAATTTGGTCACAATTAAGTCAACACTGTCGGCCGACCAGGTGAACGTAACCAGCGGTGTAATGGAAGGGAAAGGGCGGGGAAAGGCAGACGCGTTTGTTTTTGCCGAGGCAAAACAACTATAGATACCTAAATCTGTAACTGAGTGCGAGCGCCGAACGCCACTGACTGCTTAGGAATGCGTGCGTGCGTATAAAATAGTAGGAGCTTTATATTTATGAATGACAATCAATTAAAATAATTTATTTCCACACATTTTGAATATGAAGGATAAAATGGTTCAGTTTTATTCTTGTTAATTTTTTTAACCATTCGCTTATGTTATATATTCTGAACCTCCTCTGCAAATTTGGCCGGTTATTGCAAAATAATAAATTTATTTATTTATATTTATAGAATAAGGGTGACAATCTGCACAATCCACCTGATGATAAATGTGTCCAGTAAAAAGTGTTTTCCAGTTCTCTACACTCACCATACGAAACACAGCGGGGTATTCCCAGTAGTCTTACTGGTAAGACTAATGGGAATGTTCTAATGGAAACTTCCCAATAGTCTTACTAGTAAGTCTATTGGGAATCTTCGTGGCGTGTTGTATTCCCAGTAGTCTTACCAAATAACCTCTTAAGTAAAACTACTGGAAATATTTTTACCAAGTAGACTTACACCGCAAAAAAAATTCTCAGTAGTTCTAATCTATAAAATACATGTAAATTTTTATCAGTACTTAAGTAGTATATTTTAGGAATAGTACTAGGCAAGCATAAACTTGCAAGAGGAAGTAGGATAGTTCTTGTTTATATTCTTCTACCGACTTCAAAAAGGAGGAGGTACTCAGTTAGACCATGTAGATCTAATATTATTGGTTATATATATATATAGTTCAGGGCAAGAAGACTTTTAAAATGGACTGGAAGGAAGTAGGCGACAAGCTCAACCAGCTCCCCCAGGTAATTCGCCAGAGCAATGAATAACAGTTAAGTTTCTATTAAAGAATTTTCCAGATTTACTACTAATTGCTTAAATTAAAATGCATAAATAAATTAGGCAGCACATCGTGCAGCACTAGTGTTACTAATATTTACTTGAATACATAAGCTTGACCTGGTGAAAAGTCTCTCTTCAGAAATCCTAGAACGGGATATATTCTCCAAATTTTTTCTGCAGATTTTATACTCGTATTACATTTAAAATCTGCAATGTTACACTTTAAATCTATGGACATAATATAAAAAAATCCACAAAACATAACAATAATCATCACATTTATTAACTAAAGAAATAACAAAACATGCCTTTTAATAATAAAAATAAAGTTACTTCACCTAATATAGAAGTAAAGCATTCAGTCAGGAGAGCCTACGAACATGTCTTCATCTACGTAACTTTTCTAAGAAATGTCCAACGCTTATCTCATCATTAATAAGTTGCAGTTGAGTGTTATGGATAAACTGGTCACGTTGAATATGCTTTTTGTGTCGTTTATTTAAATTTAAATTGTTTTTTATTTGGATGCTGCGCACCTTATGATATGATGCGTCTGAGTTTAAAATGTTAAGTAATTGGTGTAAGTTGCTTTTTTTCTTGCCAACTTCACCATTAATCGTAAAATGCCACGATTCTAAATAATTTGTCGTGCGATGTCGTTGGCCAAATACGCAGATTTTATTAACATTGTTGTTAAGCCAGTTTTTGACATATATTTCTTAAATTTACGCATCGCTTGCATATCATTGTGTTCCTCCATCTCATTCAATATATATATATAACTCCAACCATCTAAAATCCGTTCTTCGGGTAGAAGTGGCAGCATTTTGCAAAGCGATAATATTCTGTATGTCTTTAATTTGAGAGATTTTGCTTTTCTTTTTAGAGTCTCACAATAGTGAAAGTAGCATCCGCTTATTAATATTTTAGGAAAAACGGTTCGTAAAGCTTTCATCATAGCGTCCTCATAATCAGTTTTAAATTGCGTAGGTTCCCAGTTAGGTATCTGACTTTTTATTAATTGTAATAATGTTATGTAAGGTTCAGTTCTTTTGTCTGGGAGGAAGGCATAAATAACGGGTATTATGTTTGTAGTTTGCTGAGAAATATCTAGATCGCAATGAATGGTATACAACTGAAGAAAGGGTAACGGGGTTATTTCAAATGTGCCATCACTGAGATATTGCTGTTTTTCAGCCATAGTTTTCCTTGCATCCCTAGATTTAAATACTAAAATTCTTGCACCGTCATCGCGAAAGTAATCAGCCAGTAGAAATGAATCAAATTTGGACGGCACCTCAACGTCAGCAAACGTTTTGTGGTATAGTTTTTCAACACCTAACTCCTTATTGCCATATCGGTATAACGTTGACTTTACATCTCCGAATTTCGGTAATTTATTAATGAAGTTAATACCTCCATTTTCCAATGAACTTACTGCATTTTTGTAGACTCTAGTCACTGATATCGAGTCTTCACTAACTTTTTTCTTACATTCGTAAAACTTTAGGTCTATCTCATTTTTAGCAAAGTCTTGAGCACATGTTATTATGTGTGGTGTTGCTTTCACTTCTTTCTTATCCCTAATGGTTACCGATCCAGTGCATTTGTTTTTTAATTTATAATACTGGTAACCATTTAACATTAGTACTCTTCCTCTTCCTCTTTTGATCACGTTAATTTCAGACATAACACTATATTATGTGAAATTGCCAAATATTTATTATATTTAATTTTATTCAGTGACAAGGCGTCATTCATACAGATATTTAAACAAAATGTTTTTTATCTTTGGCCATAGACTAACAAATAATATTAGATCTACATGGTCTAACTGAGTACCTCCTCCTTTTTGAAGTCGGTAGAAGAATATAAACAAGAACTATCCTACTTCCTCTTGCAAGTTTATGCTTGCCTAGTACTATTCCTAAAATATACTACTAAAGTACTGATAAAAATTTACATGTATTTTATAGATTAGAACTACTGAGAATTTTTTTTGCGGTGTAAGTCTACTTGGTAAAAATATTTCCAGTAGTTTTACTTAAGAGGTTATTTGGTAAGACTACTGGGAATACAACACGCCACGAAGATTCCCAATAGACTTACTAGTAAGACTATTGGGAAGTTTCCATTAGGACATTCCCATTAGTCTTACCAGTAAGACTACTGGGAAGAAAATTCCCAGTAGTCTTACTAGTAAGACTACTTGGTAAGACTACTAGGAATACCCCAACACAGCAACATTATTAAGCTGGTATTCTGTGAGAGCGTGGTAGACCCGACGCTTTCGTGCTGTAACCATGATATAGCACGGCTCTACCACGTATTTTACAAAATAAAAACATTATACAGGGTTATTTTGCAATAACCAGCCAAATTTGTAGAGGAGGTTCAGAATAAGTAGCATAGGCAAATGGTGAAGAAAAATTAATTAAAAAAAATCGCAAACATTCTGTCCTTTTTATCTTTTAAACTCAAAAAGCGTAGTAATGCATTATTTTAACTGATAGTCGTTTATAAATATCTAATGCCTACTATTTTACTACGCACGCACACATTCTGTCGGCAAAAAAGTGAACTGAATCGCACATAGAAGAGCGCACGTACTCGTAGTTGATACCCATAAATCACATTCAATTTGGGATAATGTCAAATAAAATAGAAGCCTTATTTACTCTGACGGCTCCGTGGCGTAGTGGCTTAGCAATGGGTTGCTTGCGCTGGGGGGCGCGGGTTCGAATCCCGGAACAAGTATTTGTATGGCCTACAAATAATTGTTCCGGGTCTGGATGTTTGTCCTTGTGCAATTTGTGTTTGTAAACTGCCTCCACGATACAGGAGAAAATCCTAGTGTGGGGGTAACGTTTTTTAAAAAAAGAAAAAAAATATTTTCAAAAACTGAAATAACTGTATATCATTATTTATATATTTGAACTTAAGGTTAAAATTTGGCTGCTCTTTGAAAAATAAGCCTGTACCTATATGTCTTAAGGAGAAGGGCGAGACTGCAGAAGATATCGCCATTATTCTTTGATCCCAGATTCGGTGATTGAATAGCAAACTTACTGTTTCTAAATAAATTATTTTTTTAACAACTAGATATTAGATTAATAAATTACTGTAGATTAATAAATAATTAATGTACATCAAATAAGTCAAATTAGCTATTTGTATAATTAATTTTCCTTTTTAATTTAAAGTCTTTTTAACGTTTAAAAATGACACATAAAATATTTTTTCTTTATAAATACTATGACGTCATTGCAATATATTATTTGAATGAAAAAGCATTTCAATTGACTAGTGTAAAATAGCCAATTGAGACATCTAAGTTCTTTTGTTTAAAATCCATACTGGAAAGCTCATAGTAATTTTATTTATATATTTAGGTGCTAATTTAAAATAAAAAGCTGACTTTTATATACGACTTTATTTTCTTTAAGGAAAAAAATATGTATAAAACACAGGCTTGATAAAATAAAGTAGTCTTCCATTACAGACAAATAGTGCGACCGACTGTCTCTAGAAGTTTGAACGAGGAGTCAAGTAGTACAATTGAATCAAATGTACAAAATAATCTTACACAACATAAAGAGAACGAGCTTCGGATATGTGATGAAAGTCAAACTAGAATGGATTACGAGGATGATCATTCGTCAAGGTAATGGAGTGGTGATAATAAGAAATAAATGTTACCTATACCGCTACACCCTATTAAAGTCTACAGCTGAGCATAGCCTTAGATTGCCTCATAGGGGGGATATTTACCATAGTTTGGCAAGCGGGTCGGCGACCGCAGTTTTTTATTTTTAACCATTATTAGGAAGACGCTGCTGCTCTCCTGATTCGTTTCTATCTGTTGCCTCTTACTACACTCACGGGATGATATGAGGTATAGTCCGGTCGCCCAGTACAAGGAATTTCGTACAATGACCTTTGTTCCAACTGTCAGTGGTCTAAAACATTTTTAGATAAAGTACAAATCTGTAATAGATTGCTAAGTATTAAATAGAGAAACACAATTTAAAAAAATGTTGTTACGACAGCTAGTTGCGTGGTGCATGTCGTTGCAAGAAAACATTCCCGAAGATGGCCTCTGTCAAGTAAAATGTGTAAAATGTGTAGGCATAAAATAGGCAACGCTCAAACCATTGATGCAAGCAAAACGCAACCTTATGTCTGCATGCAAAAAGCCTGTTGACCTAGCATTTTATACATTCCGTTTATTGGGTATAAATGCTTAAGCAGGGGATCGGAGAATTAATTACTTCGGGAACGCGAAAGTGAACCCTACTTCAGGAAACGACTACGGGCAATCGACCTACGACATCTGTGATTATTAAGGACCTCACCTCACTGTGAATAAACGAATACGTTCATTTTTGATCCTAGTCCACGTAACAATGTATTTATTATGCTTGGGCTGACTCCGATAAGTTACTTCGTTTAGATTACTGACTCGTCGATTTTCTTCTTTTCCTAGGATGTCAAAGTCTCGCCTATCACATTTATGAATCGTTAGTTATCTATCTGATTATTTAATTTATCGAGTGTTTTGACGTGATGAAACACACTTACAGCTACAGACTTAACCTCAAAAACTATTTAAATAAAAACTGAGTTATAGCCACCGTATTCCTAAATAGAATGTCGATAAAACTTTAGTTTAAAAATAAATAACAACATTAAGACAAACTAAAGAACACGTGCACAAGAACAATCCTTGTTATAATTAAAAGGTTTGCAATAACTGATGATGGCGGTAACTGTATACGTGCGAGCGCAACGGTAATATATTTAAGCGCGAGTGAGTAAAACAAGTAATGACGGTCATTGTACGAAATTGTTCGTGTTGGGCGACCGAACTTTAGTGGATATTCTTACACTGCCACTACACGGTAAAGAAACGAATTTTGCATGTTGAAAAAAGGGAGTTTTTAAAATGAGATATTCGTTGGTTCTTTTCCTAAAATTTTTAATAAGGGTTAATTTTCCGCTCACCAGATGTCGCTAGTTGGGACTCAGGTAAAGTTGTTTGTTACACAGTGTTATTACAATTGTGAAGTTGCATTTAATTTATAAGTTTATCGGTATCTTGAGTATGAAAATACATAAAACAAAATGCCTTATTGGTTTGCTCTTTAAGTTTTGCACATTTTTAACTCGCTGTAATTTTTCTACGTTAAGCAATATCTGTCCGTTTATCCATTCCAATCTAATTATTATAAAATAAGACCAACATTTCAGAAAGAAATACTGACTCTTAAATTTTCCTAACAAATTAATTTCTCCGCCATGAAATCTGTCAAATATTTTGTCTTATTCTTAAGTGGCGCCACTCACAGTGACAGAAAACTCATGGATGGTGGATGTCCCCGTTGACAAGAGTGTATGCTTCCCTAATCGTATTGATAACTTCTTGGGAATCATATTACAATAACATGTGTATTTTTTAGTACGAGCGATGCTAGTGATAACGAAGATGATCAATTAAACAAAAATGAGAATAGTGAACAAAACAATATAAATAAAGATAGCGAGAAAATAGTAAAAGAAGAAAGAAGAGATGATGTTGAAAATTATCAAGGTGATCAATACATAGACTCACCAATAGAAGAACAGTCGCAGCCGGTTAGTATGAAAATCTCGTCTGTACAATTTGAATATCACCTTCCTCCCTTTAGGAATGCCAACCCACAGGTATTATTATTAATTATAACCATCTAAACAGTCCACCTTCATTATTAATTCAAAAACGTATTCAATTTAAAGCTCTTATGATTCTTATGATATTACATCAAAATCTACAACGGTTCAAGAACTAGCCCTTCTCAGAGAAGATCCGGCAAAAAATTCTGGGAGTGTGATTTTTTAACAATTTTTATAATAAAAATGAAGTGACAAACGAGCTTACAGGTCTATCTGATAATAATTGGCTATTGTAGTCAATGAACACCTGCAGTTAATTTTAAACAAAGAAGGCTACAGATGCCTCACAGCCTCTAAATATACTGGCTCTTTATACCCTTCAGACGGTAACACAATAGCAGTGCAACCTACCACATACACAAACGGACTCTTAGGTGTATATGGAATTACTTAGAAACTGTCCACTGTAGAATATAGATATGTGTAACTGGAAGGACCTTAATATAGAACAGGGCCAAATATCTCTTAACGAGTGGGCTTTTGCTTAATTCTTATAATATTAATTCCTTTCTCCTTCTTTATTTTGTTCTTTTACATTTTACTTCTTAAAATTTTGAATTTTTATAAGTCTACTATCTGGCCAGACAGACGTTGTTCTGCCCTCTCCGACGACCATTTGTCCTATTAAAAAATCCCTAAATTCGTAAATAAAAATATTGAGGGTTACTTATAGGGATAAAAACTACCCTATCTCTCAAGTAGGACCAAACTGCACACAGTATGCAAAATTTCATTGAAATCAGTTCAGTACTTTAGGAGTTCATCGCGGACAAACAACGTGACACGTAATTTTTATATATAAAGATAAGTAAAGCATTTTTTAATTTTATGCAAGCCATTATAGGACATCATTATTCTTACTTGTTTAAAATCCATTCATCTGTTGATTTTAATGATGATTATGTGATGCTTCAATTGTCTCAACACTGTTGGTGTTTCACGGTACAACTACCGTACTATTGCAGCACAAGTTGAGCCTTTTACAATGTTGATCCAAAATACTATTTGTATAAGGGGTTGTGCGCATCGTTTTCGCGCTCGATTTGTTTTGCAACGGGTATAACGACCGCGCAGCGATGGAGCGGGGAGCGGGCAGTCTCGGCTCTGGCGTGTTGGCGTGACTAATTGTACCAATCTAGCTTATTCTAGACGCTTACAGATATTTAATTTGATATTAATTATTATCATTAATTATAAAAGTGCTCTGGTGCAATTTATAATTAATAAAACTAAATATTATCTTGCAATCCCCGAAAGAATTCAGCATGGCTGACCACTTTCTCCTACATGTACATTTGAGCATGCAATTGAGTGGACAAATGTTATTTTTCTTTGACATATTTTTTTTTTTCTCAAAATGATTTCCACTTGTTGGTCGATTTTTCTTGCTTGTATACTTTAAAGAATATAGGTCAACGATATTAGACAGAGAATTCCACCTAATGAAGTGGTTTTCCGCCTAATTTGATCTGATCGTAAACCGAGTCGGGTGTCTAATTTACTGTCTCTGTAAATATGTGTAATATTTTAATTTACTGTATATTATATTTTAATTTACTATAAAAATATTATAATAATTATTGAAATTACAGGAAAAGTCGGCAAATAATCTCGATACTAATGAATACAGTGATGATAGTAATATTAAATTGGAATTAGATATAATGTCAGATGATGACGGAACAGTCAAAACAGAAAGTCCCGAATGGCAGAGGAGCGAAGACAAATTGATTTTGGAATTACTGAAAAACTCTTTAACTCGCGAGGAACGCAAGAATAAAACAATAAAAGATATTTTGGAGGAGAAGGAAGTTTTACAAATGATAACTGAAAGTCTGTCGCACAAGTCTGCTAAAGATGTAACTGAGCGTGTGATATATTTATTAGAATTGCTGGTGATTAGCGAAAGTGTTTAATTAATAGTATTTATATATTAGTTACATTATACGTTTTAACTTTTTTCTAAGTTGTTATCAATTAACAGATATTCACCAAAAGTATTTAGTTACTTGAGCCTTCTATGTATATTTGACAATATACATTTGTGAGTGTTCACCGAGTCGGCATCGGAGTACCGCAGTTCATGCATCTACTACAGCGTGACCAGATTTGCGAACTAAAACCATTGTCTAACCAATATATACTAAAACATTAGCCTGCCTTTTAAAAGGGGGTAGTATAATATTTTAGTTTATAATGCGTAGCACTTGCTTCGCAAAATTTTAAGTGTTTATTAATAGCTCATTCATATTTAATAACTAGGTCAATCTGTGGACCCATTGTATGAATATTCAGTTTAATAATTGCGATATCAAAACACGACAAACAATAATCAATAATCAATCAATTCTTTATTTGCTAAAATGTGTGTGTTTAAGACAAATTATGAATTATCGCGCCAACACAAAATGCAAAATATTATACATTTTTACTATACCGGGTGTTTGTTAAACGCTCCTGAAAACGAAGACAGACGATAGTACTTACGATACCTTTGATGATGGGTCAGAAAGAAAATCGATGCTGAGGAAAAAAAATCATCTTTTTTGCAATGTTTGCAACGTTTTATTAGCTTTATTCATGCTCCATCATGTTGATACAGCTAAATAAAATGATAATTTCATTTAAAAAATCACGAAAATACTTAAAAATTAAGCCAGCAGTGGAATTTAAAATTAATAAATCATGAAATCCGCTGACTAGGATCAGTGTTCGCGCGGACGCGGAACTCTTTTATCTAGCTCGGTACGAAACAATGCATTAGGTATTGCTACTCTCTCTATCCTTCCCTTTCACACACGCGCTGCCGCCGCCCAATCGACTCGTGTCGCATCGCGTCAGCGTTGCCAACATATGGGGAATTCCCCAAATTACGGGGAATTTAAAGTTGGTTGGGGATTGGTATTATGTGTGGAAAATGTGGGGATTTTTAAAATCGATGGCCCTCCCCACGTCAGAACCTTTTTTCAAGAAATCTATATTTGGTCTCAATCTTTATTTTGGTTAGGTTACTTATGAATATCCAACCACTCCCTTTCTTTTAATTATCTTCATTGCGCCACATTTAATTTTCGGATTTATTTCGGCAACTTTTGTGTATCATTTAATGCTTTTAATTTTTTTATTTTAAAGCAGAGAACCTCATGCTTATAAATACAGATACTGTGATACTTTTTAGTGACAACAAGGGAAGGAATTAAAAATACTCCATAAAGTAAAATGCATGTTACAAAAATATGGTCTGAAAAAAATTCAGCAAAAAAAAACTTTAAAAAATAAATCTTATATAAATTATTTGAAAATTGTTTCATTTTTTTAAATAAAATTGAGGGGCCTTTCTGGGGAATCTGTTGAAGTTTTGTGCTTAAATTGGGGAATTTGACATGGATTTTCAGATAATTTGAAAAATTGGTTTTGGCAGCACTGCCATGTTGCACCGAAATTTACCTACTAAGAGTTTTTTGCAGGCGACATAAGAATTAGAGGCGGCAATCACAATAAAACTTGCAAGTAATTTTTAATAATTTTGACGTACCTCTCTTTAAATTCAAAGTATTGGATGGATTAAAAAGGGGATTTTCAATTAAAATAAAGTAAAATAATAATTTTTTAGATTAATTAACTGTCGATCATAATTGCAATTGATTTTAACCATTAAATTATTCAGTACCATTTCATTTCTATTTTCTTGTACAAAATCAAAGATAACGATGAAATAGTGTTTATAATTGTAAAGTAAAGTAAAGTAAAGTTCCAGCCTATTTACTTCCCACTGCTGGGCACAGGCCTCCTCTCATTTATGAGAGGGTTTTAGGGCAAGGAAATGTCCGCCGCGCTGCCCCAATGCGTGTTGGCGAACTTCACATGTATCCGAAATATTTTTTTTTCTTATTTCTCAGACATGTAGGTTTCCTCACGATGTTTTCCTTCACCGCCGAGCACGTGGTAAATCGGCATTTAAAATTGCAATTAACAATTTGTGTGAGTGCCGGCGGGGATCGAACCCGGGTTGCTCGAGTACTGTGACGCTTACAGCGAGCGCTAACCATCTGAGCTACCACGGCTATAACGGCTTTATAATTGTGTGAGTACCCAATTAGGTACGTTTATTAATTTCAATATCATTTTTATACTAACTAACTGCTTGTTGCGTCAGGGTACAATTGATTATCTAATTGTATTAAAAAAGACAACTATAACTTCTAAATTCCATATAAAGACTAGTCTTAGGGATCACTAAACTTATAAAATAAAAGTTGGCAATGTTGTAAGGTCTTAACGATCTATGGAAATGATCAAAGTGCTTACCGCAAGGACGTTAAGACACACGCACTTAGCGATAGGCATTAGTTTTCGCGGGATTCATTAATAATTTTAGTTTTTAAAACAGCTCCGAGTTGACTGTTGACTACAACCGTTTTGTTTCTTAAATTCTTGTTGTTATTACTTATTTTTATTATTCTTGTTGTTACGTTTTCTTTCTTGTTTTTTTTTGTGCTCGTGAATACGGCAACATGTTAATGTGTCTTGGAGAAGCTCGCGGGAATGATTCGCGTGCATTACGAATTTACCGAGAGAAATCCCCGCCCGCTCGACACCCAGCTGGCTCCCGTCTGATAACAGCAGCATTTCAGCGAGTTTTTTTTTTATAGGATAAGGGTGACAAACGAGCACACAGTCCACCTGATGGTAAATGGTTGCTGCGGCCCATAGACATCTACATCTATCCTCGTTTGCGAATCAAAATGCAGATGCGTTGTCACCCGTGAGGACTAAGATGGAATGCCTCATTTCCAGTAAAAAGGGCCTCCGGCCACCTGCACTCACCAAGCGAAACGCAGAAGTAAACCTCTACTTCACGCTGGTATTCTGTGAGGTCGTGGTACCACCCCGGTTCGAGCCGGCCCATCCGTGCGACAGCAAAAGATGCCGCGTGGCTCTACCACTGTCTACCACAGTGTTGGAAAATCGGCCTATTGCTCCGGTAGCGGCAGGAGGTTGAAGTCACGGATTCGTCGTTAATTCCGCGAATATTTACCCTATTGTCAGCTGATTTTATTTGATGTTCCACTGCTGGTTTTATGTTTAAGTATTTTTATGATTTTATTTTATGAAATTATTGTTTCATTTATAATCTATTTCGTTTTCGTTGTAAAAATACGATTTTTTTTACATCGGTATCAATTTTTTTTCTGACTCATCATCAAAGGTATCGTTAGTACTATCGTCTGTCTTCCTTTTCGAGAGCGTTTCACAAACATTCGGTATAAAGTTATAAAGATGTTCAAATCTAAAGTAAAAACGAAATAACTGAAAGGATGAAATTAACTAAATACTCTCTTGAAGAACTATAAACCGATTTCCCTTCCCAGCGGAGTCTACGTGCTGTTTTCGAGAGTCATTACGAATCGTCTCGCACTCAGAGTACGAAACCTATCCAACTGCAGAGAGGTGTAAGACAGGGTGACGTTATATCCCCGAAACTCTTCACCGCTTGGAAGACGTTTTCAAGCTACTGGACTGGAGAGGATTACGGTATTAACATCAATGGCGAGTACATCACTCACTTTCGATTTGCCGACGATATAGTCCTTATGGCAGAACCGCTGGAGGACCTAAGCACTATGCTCAATGACCTCAATAGTGTCTCCCAACGGATAGGTTTTAAGATGAATATGGACAAAACAAAGATCATGTTTAATATCCATGTCACACCTATGCCAGTAGTTGTTGGGAGCACTAAGCTCGAAATTGTTGACGAATATGTTTACCTGGGACAAATAGATAAGTCCAACTTCGACCGAGAGGTCAATTGATGGATCCATTCGGCTGGGCAGCGTTCGGTAAATTATGACACATCTTCTCGTTAGGTATACTTCAAAACCTGAAAACGAAATTGTACAACCAGTTCTAGTTGCCAGTGATCACTTATGGATCTGAGACGTGATCCTTCACTGCTGGCCGTATGACGCTCAAGGTTGCTCAGCGGGCTATGCTCGGGGTTTCTCTGCGTGAGAAACTTAGAAATGAGGATATCCGCAGTAGAACCAGAGTGACCGACATAGCCCAACGGATCAGTAAGCTTATGTAGCAATGGGCCGGCCATATAGCTCGAAGAATCGACAACCGATGGGGAAAATAGTTTCTCGAGTGGCAACCGATAGGCGAAGTGTAGGTCCCCCCCCCCCCCCCACTAGATGGAGTGACGACCTGATAAGACATACAGGAAGTCGAAAGATGCAGGTGGCTCAGGACCAGGCATCAGGTTCTTGAGGGAGGCCTATGTTCAGTAGTGGACTTGTGAAGGGCTATGTTGAAATAATGATGATGTTGAATTTTTTCATTTTTTTTAAATATGTGCTGGTTACATCATACAAATTTCTCACATTCAAAGCTGTACATGTAAGGGAAAAATAATATTATAAAATTGGTCTGCAAGAAGTAAATTCTATACGTGGTAGAGCCATGCTGCAGCTATATTAATAGTATAGTTGTAGCACGAATGGGTCGGCTCGACTGGGGAAGAACCACGCTCTCACAGAATATCAGCGTAAAATAGCAGCTTAATGCTGCTGTGTTTCGTATGGTGAGTGTAGAGAACCGGAGATCCTCTTTACTGGAAAAGAGGCATTCTATCTTAGTCCTCACGGCTGACAACGCATCTGCATTTTAATTCTCAAACAAAGATAGATGTAGATGTCTATGGGCCACAGCAACCACTTACCATCAGGTGGACTGTGTGCTCGTTTGTCACCCTTATTCTATAAAAAAAAAGTAAAAAAAAAAGAGAGAAAATGAAACAAAATATGGCCAGCAGCATCTTCCTTGAGGCACATTTGTTGGTATGAAAATGACGTGATATTGTTTTAAATCATACGTGGACGTATAGCAAAAAACCTAATGGTTATAATAATAA